CCTAAGCCTAAGCCTAAGCCTAAGCCTAAGCCTAAGCCTAAGCCTAAGCCTAAGCCTAAGCCTAAGCCTAAGCCTAAGCCTAAGCCTGAACCTATCTATGTTTATTTGTTCAAAAACAATATGTCAAAGATTTATTTGATTTTTTTTCTCAGGCTATCTCATCAAAGTGTTCTTCGGTTTTGTTCCTTATGTTCATAGTGTTGTCCACTTCAACTGAATCATAATTATCTTTTCCAAGATGAAACAAATTAAGCAAACCTTGTGGCTGAGACGAGGTTGACGTGGTGACATCAATAACGGAGTATTTGTCGAATAGGACCGTTTTTGATGGTCTCAAGCAGTATGTTGTTAAAGCAGATAGAAGCATCATCTCCCATGTCATCATAAAGGATGACCAAACTACAATGCATAACCATTATACAATGTTTCTTCATTTTAAAAAAAATTACATTGTGCTTTTGCAGCTGAAGTTAAATTTTGGTCGGGTGCAATAAGATCAAAAGCAGACGCAAAGTCGAAACAAAATTTTTGGATAGTGTAAATGCATTGCGCTATGTCAACTACTCGAAAGATGAAATCAAATCGATATGGTGTATGCTTCTTCTGAAAAATATGATGCTGCCTTCAAAACTTTTTTGTCTCCACGTACTCTTCCTAGTGGAACTATAATGTAACATCCATAGAACGCGACGCACATTGAAATCAGTCCGAACAGTTGTGAAAACATGAACCACCTGCAAAATTCTAAATGTTTTCTTCTCCCTTCAATAAGTTCTACATATTGTGACGATGTCCTAACTCCATGAAGACCACCACACTTATGAGTTCCAATGTCGTTCGAATGATAGGTGTTTGGAAAACAAGCCATTCGATCCTTCTCAGGTTTTCGCTAAAAATAGCATGGTTCAGAGTGATAGCGAAACTTGGCATACTCCGAGCTAATAACTTTTGGCAAACAACTCAAGCAGCAAACGGGGGGGACTTTGAATGAGATCATAATATTGCTAGATAATAAGCTATACTGTTTGGCGTCGTTATTTCTTACTTTTGTTGTAGGTACTCAGACATTTCTTTCCGACTACCGAATATATTGAAAAGTAGAGATACGATTACGAACAGACAAAACATGAAATATCTATAAGTACGTATGACACTTGTGAAAATATCGGTTCCTGTTTATTTTTCATACACCAAAGAAACAGCATACAGAAAGATGGCAGCTCTTGGTATATACATGCCAGCTAATCCACAAGATGATGTTATCTATGAACGCACTGAATAAGGATAAGAATAAAGAAAACGACTTACGGGAAACATAAAAACTAAATAATATAAATCTGTTTGGATCCTGTCATTACTTACATATCTCAAAACGTAGTAGAGATGTAAAGTTCCTAGTAATATCACAGTGACTGTGAATAAAGTAGATAGAACTAGGAACGTTAAATATACAGAATCGATTTCTGAAGATTATAATCGGCTCGAGAAAGATAAACTATTTAAAACCTTTGAGCCAAATGCCCACTTCTGGAACTAGCTTTTCCTCCTCATCAATGCTTATATTATCATGAGATTTAGGATGAATTATGGTTTTCACTATTTCCATCCACTAAAGATAGAAAAAAACGAGGAAATCAGTTATAAATCTTCTGCAAAGAATATTGTTATCAATTGAACTCTGTGTCAGGTTGAATTAAACATTTAAATTTCAAAGAATAATATTTGTATAAAGCTTAAATCTGTTTGCCTACGTATTACATCCTGTAATTTAGTTCTTTACAGGTTTTCATTAAGTTTAATTGTACAGATTTCTAAGAGCACAGCAGGAAAGAATAAAAGTTTTAGACAATCAGCGAAATTCATAAAAATACTCAAAAATATCAATACTTTGGGCCCTTGTTGTCATGGAAACTATTGAGCACTGAACATTCAGTCGATTCTTTTTTATTTATTCCATCTGCTTTCAACTCTAACTATTTCATGGTTAATACTCCGTTTTCAACGAATTATATCATTATTAAATGAAATAAATCTTTTTTTCACCTCATTTCCTTTCTCTCTCTCTCTCTCTCTCTCTCTCTCTCTCTCT